GTAGGAGGGCTGTTTCGGTTAACATCTACTTGGATCTGGATCTCCTATCATCCTAGCAGATCTTCAAAAATTTGAGGCGGCCCTCTTTGGTCTCCATGCTGATGAAGTTTCTACGGTCCAGTGTGTCCTTGCAAACTATTAAAGCCTGAGTATAAACATCACCGGTCTCTTCCACACCATGTTCTTTCATAATCATCACCACTTTGTCCATCTCCTCTTCCTTCTTGTTTATACGGGCTTTCTGGAGCTTATGGTCTTTAATGAGGTCATTGATGTCGTTAAGGCACTCGTCAATGGAAGCACTCTTCTTACTACGTGGGCTATTGACAGAGTAATCCCTAGTGGTTCTCTTGGAGGACTGACCAACACTCTTGACAACGAAGGGGTCCGGTGATATATCGTGTGGACTATCATGGCTGGCATTGTTGGGTGTCATCTCGCGATGATGGCTACCAGACGAGATCAATGTACCCATGTCACGAGGAGTGTGTCCCCACAGAATTAACAGTAGTTGAAGGCATTTGGGCATTTTGGTCCGTTCCGCAGCAGACTGGCTATTTTCCTCCACGTGTGCCATGGATCCAAGGGTTAGAATTAAATAGAATTGAAACATCCCTAGCAGAGGTTAGTAGGGGGAGGGGGTTATAAAACAAATAGGTGGAAGTTAGTACCTCGGTGCCACCCTCAAAGAAGGAGGGGTCAATTGTGACGCCGCCTGTATGTGGGTCACGGCCTAGGCTAGTGTGGGATTGAAGGTCGCACCAAGTAAAATGTGCCCGCTTCAGCTCGTTCAGCTTGTTATGCAGCTATTTCTTTTCGTACATCAACCCCGTTGTCGTTGTGAATGCTGGATACAAATTTGCTCAGCCCAAGGTTGTGAGGCCTCTTTGGTTCCAGTGCAATAGGTTTTTCTGTTCTATCACAAGTTTCAAAAAGGTCCTCATGGTGGTGTCATCCCAGTTAGCACGATCCGTGAACATCTGTTGCCATGTTTACATTGTAGGGTATGATGAACGTAGTACAGACACCAATAAACAACAGCTCTTGTTGTCATAAACAAAAGAGTTAGGGTGAAAGAAATGCAAACGTACCTTAGCAGAACGCTTGGCGCATTTCGATTGATGGTTGTAGTGCCTGGCTTGAGGTGAAGAGCACGATGAAGTGGATGACGCTGCCAGTTTGGGCAGCGTTATGAAGCACTTGCGAGCGGTGCACTGAAAGAAACAAACACAATACCACATTGTCAATGAAAATTAGTGTGCATAATGGGGAACCATAGATACATTATCATGTGGAAGATTATATGGATGCTGAAAGTTTAACTTGCCCTAATTGATTATTCAACTTGGATTTTTATTTAATAAACGTGTAGTTCCCATTTTATTTATATAGATATTCCTTCTTATTTTCAATGTCACCCGGTTGTTGTAATAAGGTATGTTGCTGCAATGTAAACCCAACTACGAAACAAAATGGCGTCCCTTGTAAACTTATATGGCTATTTAAGAGCCAACATCAATCAATGAATCAGGTGGGGGACTCTCTCCCTCTCTGTCGTCTTATCAAAAAAAAATAAGGTAAGTTGCTGCTTGAACTAATAATATTGTATAATTTTTAGCTGCTTTGCCCGAACACGCTTTAAGCATGACGGAACACAAAAGGCACACCATGGCCAGACTCCCAAACTGAGAAATAACCCAACAAGCTTATTCCATCACCAAGATATTATCTTTAAACACAACAATCAAAAGCTACTTCGCGAAGAGGAGCGGGCCTAATGTAGCTGAGCCTAAGCCATGAAACTGATGGGAACGTTGCTAGTAATGTATTATGTTCAAAGTCAACAACGCCAGTAACCTAATCAGATACTACTGAAGAAAGAAAGCATTTTGTTCAATGATAAAGGTGCTCATTGTATACTGAATAACATCACCTATAATTTTAGTTAATTAGTTCCAAGCGTCCTCGGAACCGTGGGCGGCGCTCGGGAAAGACCTGCAAAACGAGCACGTGGGGATCAGAGCCGGAGGGTGGGGACGACGGCGTCCAAGGATCCAGAGGGGGCAGGCGATAGATCCGGAGGGGGGAATACGGAGGTGGCAGATCCGGAGGGGGGAGACGGCGTCCTCAGAGCCAGAGGGGGGCGGGGGAAGACGAAGGCGGCAGATCAGGAGGGGGGATGACGACGGCGTTGGATCCGGGGGTACCTTGTTGCCGGCGGACGGGCGTCGACGGCGGCGGGTTCTGCGAGGGATGCGGAGCTCACTGTCGTCGCAAAGGCTGTCGATGGCGAGGGGGGCCCTCACGACGGAGAGAGGCGGGACGGGATGGAGGCGTTTGCCAGCTGCGGGGGCAGGCACGGCGAAGCGGAGTTGACGACCGTCGCGGCCCGCGTGGAGGAAAGAGGTGGGGCGAGCAAATGGAAACCCTAGCCGCGCGACGCGAAGTATACCGGACTAAGTGAGAGGAGCAGAACACGGCCAGGTTGCCTATTAGGGCAGCCGTTTGGCTGGAAGTGGGCCGTCGAACGGCTGGGCTGATCAGTAGGCTGAAAACCAGCCCAGCCAGCCGTTTTCAAGCAGCCGAACAGACCCTATTGTTCCAACTTTCATATTTTCTGTGTAGACCAAATGATCCACCAAAGTATAAAGAAAAGCCCCAAGCAAGCCCACTAGCCGTTGCTCCAACAGTCATATTTTTCTATGTATCTTGGTATTTTGGCCATATCTCCTGGTTCCAAAGCCTGTTTTTGATGATCTTATACTTGTTGGAGTGCTAATTAAATGCTCTAGAAGATTATGCAAAAATACTACACCAGATCAATAAAAAGCCACAATGGCTTATTCTGTGAACATCAGTAGGTTGGCAGTTTGACACAACTTGTTGATGCTTCGGTATTATGGGAGTATCTTCTTGCTCCAACTCCGATTTTGATGTTCTTCTACTTGTAGGGAAGCTTGTGAAAAAATCTATAACGTGAACCTTGTATAGGTCCAATTTCACTAGCTATACGAATCCAATTCAATCACTTTTTTGTTGCTGAACGTTCACGGGACTTCAGTACATCGCATCTGCTTGTATGGACTCTCGATCGATGAGATCGCATAGTCGCTCAATATTAACTAATAGGCATAGTGGCACTGTAAGTTGTAATCCCTCCAGTCTAAATTGCAAGTTGTTATAGCTTTTGTAGATGCATAACTTTTAGTATGGTGCGTAGCAAAAGCTATATACCTATAAAAGTCAAAACGACTTATAATTTGTAAAGAAGGGAGTAGCTTGCATAGCACTAATCTTAAGCACCGCCAGTAAGCCTAGATCTGGTGGAAGATGTAAAACGATTTTATTAAGTTGTAGAGAACACTCAGCCATAGCTCACGTAAGTTGTCCACTTAGTCGGCCGGATCGATTTCCAACTCCCGGATGAGTTGTGAAGGTGTGAAGGGGCGTCTTCCATTGGTCAATTCTTACAGCTCCCGACCCATTCTAACCCGCTGATGACTGATGATTGCTATCAGCAAATGGTGCTTTCGAGATTTGACTATATATGTCCTGCAAAAGCCTCAATAATACACTAAGCGTGTGTTTGGTTCTGGGACTTCGAGGGATGGGGTGGATCCATCCTTAATTTTTGGGACAGAGTGAACACATTTCTTGTTTGGATGTGTGGCTTGGGTCCATCCCTGTTTATTGTTTGGTTTGTAGGATGAATAAGGTTTTTTAGAGCAACTCCAGTGGACTATGTAAACACACTATCTATCCCCAATTTGGTAGTGGAGGCCAAAAAACGTACTCCAATAGGCTACCTATCAGACTACCTAAATTTGTTGAACCAACAAATTCCCCCGGCCTCTCACTACCTACTTTTGTTGGGACAACAAAAGTGACTACCCAATTTTTTTCCCTTCCACCCTACGCTCGGTCACTTGCAGAAGCCCAACGCTAACGCCCGCAGGAGCCTCCCCCACGACTCCCTGGCGAGGGGCCGCCTCCATGGTGACACCTTGTCCGCGCTTGCCTGCGCCGCCTTGAGCTCGCCCATTCTGCCTCGGGCGTGCCCGAGCCACCGTCCGAGCTCCCCCGGGCCGCTGTCATAGCTTCCCTGGCGGCGGTGCCTCTGGGGTCGATGAGGAGCCAATGGTGGCGAGAATCCAGAAGCTAGCTATGGTTCCTCTCCTACCGCACAGGAAATAAGATAGTGCACTGCCCCTGTCCACTCGATTCGGAGGAATCGGCTCAACCCCATCCAAAGGGTATATTTCGTACAAGGTTTAACCCAACCAATAGCTCCCAACCAATCTCTGTGAAATCTGGGTTCAACCCAACCCATCCCAACCAGGGTTCAAAATTTCGGTCGAATTTCACGAAATTCGGTAATTTCGGTGGTGGCCGAAAGAAAACTCCGAAATTTTTTAATACACTAATACATGTGCTATATAACTCTAATCTTCTATTTTTCTATTGTTTATATTGCATATTCTTCTATTTAATAGATATGTAGTCATAAATCATACTAATATTTGTTTAGATCCAAATTTTTTTAGAAAAAAACATACTTCATGTGCTAATCTCTAAAAAAAATTCGGCGAAATTTCGGCCGAATTTCACGAAATTCGGTAATTTCAGTGGTGGCCGAAATTTTTGCAATACCGAAATTAAAAACCTTGATCCCAACCCCCATCCAAACACAAGCTAACACACCACTAGGTTTCGCATGTGGAGGTCAGGTCGGATGCGCACAATCTATCTAGTGAACAAGAACTAGTAGTCGAAAAGTCTCCACGATGCAATACAAAGTGACAACCAATGGAATAAAAAGACATCAAAGCATCATGTACATGGAGATTGCAGTAACAATAATATCCACATGCGAAACCCAATAGAATTCATGCACAACGAATGATGCATAGGGACCAAATTAATCTCACAACCACCACCACCACCAGTTCCTCAAGTACTCCACTACTAAGCCTATCAAAAAAAATGGAGGAGAAATCTGCTCAGAAGAGCTTGTATGGGGAGGAGGCGTCCAGAGGGTGGATGAGGTAGGTGAGCACCAGCGCCACGATCATCAGCAGGTACGCGATGCCCTGGTCAACCGACGTCCCTGCATGCGAAACAGATCAGGATCGAGGCTAGTATGTACTAGAGAAATCGCGCTCCGATCCCGACGGGGTGGGGTAAACCGAAGGCAGGCGAAAGGACTACTGACCGTCGCTGGTGGGCGCCGGGGCAGGGGCCTGCGCGGCGGCGCCGGCCTGCATGGCGACTGCGAAACCGAGCGCCGCCGCCGCGGCGAAGGCGAGACCCAGCGGAGTTCTTGCCATGGCAGCAGCAGCTGGAGGATCACAGAGGAGACGAGACGAGCAATCCCTCTATCTTTCCTCTTTCTGCTTGTACGCATGTGCATTCACTCCCCGGCCCCTTATAAAACGGATCGTGAGCGTAATTATTCAGCGGAAGGCAAGGCAACGGCTCTCTCTGTTTTCTCTCTCTGCTAGAACGGCTGGACCTCGCTGGGACTGCTATGGCGTGTTGCGCCGGCGGTGGGGACCGCTCACATGCACGACCGTTGCAGGAGGCCAGGAGCTGTTTGCTGCTGGATCGGCCAGTCTGGAATCCCATTCCTGAAGCTGGCTCTGGCTGGCTCCGTTGCCTTTGCCGTCATCTCATCTTTTTTCTGGGCTGGCCGCACAAATGTTCCACAGTGCAGATCATCGCCAAGGCTTTTATTTATTCATTCACGTCTATTTGTATTATTATTATTTTATTATATTAGTATTATATATCTGTATTCCTTACCAGACGTGTTGATTCACTCCAGCTGTCTATTAATAAATAATATATATTTATATTTATGTATTGTTTCAAACGGCAAAGATTCGTTGTTCTGCCGCCAAAATTTGTCCTCAACGTGCGCTGGAGCTGTGAACTGTTATATTAATTCTTTTATATATAATATAATATAGATGTGATTTCAAAACATATGCAATGATGTCTACGTCATGGCTTCGTTAGAGCATCTCCGAGAGTCTTTTTAAATCTCACTCTCTAAATCATCGTTTGGAAATTCGTTTGCGTAAAAATAGCTTTTATATAATTTCATTCTCTAACGGTTTTTCTATATCTCGTGCGCATTCTAAAAAGTCATTTTCGTCTTCTATTTTGGCTAGCGAAGCACAACCGTTTCGAGCACAACCAATATATATTAGAACCCCCTTTACTTGCCGGAGCACATCTTGGATCCGTCAATTATGTTATGGATGGAGTTCCACTCATGGGGATCTAGTTGAATTGGGGGATCGACCCTCACTTCCTTCAATGAAAGCTAGGGCTAAGGGTTATTGGAATAAGGATTCTGGCTGGTTAGGTTAAGGGAATATCTAGTACACCAGAATAAAAGATTGCTACATTTGGATAACGATTCAGAGAAGCTGATGGAGAGTAGTTTTTCACCAAAATCTCTATTGCTAGATTTAGAAATGATATAGAGAGTCTCTTCTAGTTCCTCTTAAACTTGCGCTCATTGAGATACGAGTGATGCATTAATGTATCCTGCATAAAACTTATATTAAAATATTTGCAATAAATAATGTTATTATGTTTGCAATAAATATTAATACACAAGTGCTTAGAAAAAGCATGGTCAAGTAACATCCTTACAAAAAAATAATTGTCATTTCTATATGTTGTTAGCATGCCAATCTAAACCCAAGTTTTATCGACGCAACGTATTGACAAAGCATATAGCAATATAGTACAATACCATGAAACTATTTCCATGACAAATATACTCATATAATTTTCAAATATCTAAATTCAACCCATTAAAACAAATCTAAAATAAAAAATTGGAACGCTTGAGTGTATGATTCTAGAAACAGACAGTATTTCCAACCGAAGGTTGCACAATGAAACCCATGCTTATATCCAAAATGATAATTACAAAATAATGTTGATTAAAAAGTTGCTAGAATTCCCCATAGGAGATCTAATCATAACTCGGCTAGTTGGGTTTCTTGTGGTGGAACAAGCCTGTCCACCTTGATTCAAATCATCAACTTGATGTGGGTGCCCACATTTTTCTAAGTCTATTCTAGAATTTAATGGTGTTGTTCTTTTCTATTAGGCGATCTGCCCGCCGATAGTGAAACGTCTGTAGTGACTTTGTCAATCTCGAGATCTGCCTGCTTAGTATCAATCTCTCAAAGGTGCTCATATAGGTAGGGTGTACACGTGTGTTTATATCAATCTCTCAAAGGTGCTCATATAGGTAGGGTGTATACGGGTGTTCCTAGGGAGCCCGCAGAAAGAACTTGTGTTAAAGTTTTAACAAGCAATCAAATCATTTTCTGCTAGAAGAAACCCACCAAGCATCAAAGCTACGACAGACATCAGCGATAAAATAGATCGGGCGGCAGTCACATTTAGCTCTGGAGAAAACAGAAATATATGTAAAATGAACAGAATACAAGTTCAGAACAAAATACTAGAAAATATTTGAAGAAGTCTTCAAAAATAGCGATTTGAGTGGGACATAATACTAGTAGAAATTTTTTGAAAAGGCTTCACAAAGGACAATTAAGTAGGAGGTAGAAAGAAAAACCGGTTCATGGTTTGGAGTAAACTAATGTCCCGTGAAACTAGCAAAGGTAGGCCTGCTTTGCAAAATATAAGGTATTTTAGTTTTATTTCAAGTCAGAGTTCTCTAACTTTGATCAAGTTTCCCCTAGTACAAAATCAATTTTTACTGACGCTTGCAATTCTTTTTTACTGGTGGTTCATAATGTATAGGCGCTAGTAGAACTGTCAATGTAAATTTATCTTTACCGGCAGTTTTGTTAAGTCGACATACCGCCTGAAGAAATCATATATTTACATTGGCGGTTCTTTTAACCTACCAAGATTATAAATCCGATTTCTACCAGCAATATCCTTAAAAGAACCGCCTGTGTAAATACATGATTTCTACTAGCGGTAGGCATAAGAAAACCGCCAGTAAAATGCATTTACACTGGCATTTTTCTTAGCCTAGCACCACTACAATAATTTGAAATTAATATTTTTAAATTTTTTAAATAATCTTAGATGGAGAAATGGTCTTAACAAAAGTTGTAGTACATGAAAAGATCTATAACTTTGTAGTTGACTACGTTTTCATTTCAAACCATTTAGGGCCCTGAAATTATGTTTTAAGATTAATTATTTTGAAATTCATTTTTTTTAATTTCTCAAATGATCTCTGATGGAAAAATGACCAAAAGCAAAGTTGTAGATCTCGATTAAACTTTTTAGTTGAATTTTTTTCATTTAAATTTGTTTATGGCCTCAAAACTCAATTTCGAAATATGGTAGAGTGAATACGAGGAAAATGTTTCTGTCGTTAAGTCACAAGTGACTTTATGCAGGGGAAGTAATGCATGAGGTCTGAGGTTATGAGTTCGATTCATGGAAACCAAACTTGCACGTACTTCACACGAAAATGGAAAAATTCTGGAAAAAAAACTGTGGGGGGCTTCCTTGGATAAAAAATTCTAATTTTTGGAGCCCGATTGCAATTTCTGAAAGCGAGTGTAGATCGACTTACAGTGGCGGTTTCCTTAAGAACATCGCCAGTATAAATATTTACATATATGGTTCTTAGGTGACGCCAGTGAAGTTTGCTGATTTTTACTGACCTTTCACACTAGCGGTGGCTAAAAATGCCAGAAGAATGAAAAATACCGCTAGTAAATACTGTCTTTACTAGTGTTATACCAAAATATAACAACATCTATAATATAATACTAAATAAATATGCTATTGAACATATCTCATGATTGATTTAATAATACTATAGTATAATGCTGTAAATGTTAGTGCACTATGTTAAAAGCATGTTTAACTTTTGGTACAAGCAGTCAAGATAACCTTTGTTGTGGAACAGGTAAGGCAATCTCCAACAGTACCTAAGAAAATGATTCTAAGAGTTTAACTTTCGGTAAATATTAGAATCGAAGAACATAATCACATCATCACCATAGTTTCTAACAATTCGCGCTGAAAAAAAATTAAAAAGGTGGCCCACTTGAAGATTTTTGTCACCGCCCGTGCCACATCAACACCACCGCTAGCCGCCCCACGTTTGGCTATCCCTGACACCTAACTCACATCCAAAGCCTCCAAAACTAAGTCTCTATTGACTACCCTACATCCCAGTATTCGCACGTATATCAAAATAATGAACGGAGATCTAATTCATACAACCTCCCAGCTGGTGGTGAGGCAACCGCGACTGTCATCCTAACTCACAGCCGAAACCTACAAAGTGAAATCTCCGTTACCTGCTCTAATTGTCATATCTGTATATTCAATTCAAGTGAACTTCTAGACTGTAGCAATCGGGGCAACGAAGTTTGAAAACAAAAATCAATGACCCATATAACGGAGTAAGGGTTATCACTTATCAGCGTGTCGTGCGTGTATGCCTTCGTTTCCAAGCGCTCGATAGGGAGCTGTTGAAGGGGAAAAAATGTCCATCTAAAAAATCAAGATTGGAAATGGCTTGGCTGTTAGAGATGCCCTAACCGTAAGAAATCTGTGGCTTCTGAAATTCCTATCGATTCCATGCATCAAAAGGGCATCCATTTCCATGCCGTGAGCAGTCCATTTGTCGCGACCTACGGCACGAATCAATGGTGTGGAATAGAAATCTGTCCACTTGGCCGATGGCCGGGCGCAGAAAAACTGGGATCGATCATCTGGGAAATGGACGGCGCAACAAACATATGCTCAATCAATGCAAGTGTTAAGTGTATATATTTGGTACAGAACAGAGAGAAAAATGTAAATAAATGTCGTCACTAATATGCAAGAGGACAACAGATGTGGTGCAACGTAGATCGAACGTGCGCGCTGCCCGGCAAATGGAACCATGGAAAGATGCTCACATGATTCTCAGATGCTCGATTTCACAGGCATTGACCAGTCACATGCAAATCAGCATATATATACGCGCGCTGTTGAGATTGGCAGGATGTATATAAGGTGAGTCCGAAGACAAATGACCACAATGGTACTCATGTGTCATGACTCGTACTTCTTTATTTTGAAATTAGATGGATTCCCTGTGTTGCTGTGGAAGCTTATATAAATTATTATGAACAGCAAACGAATGAACTAAACAAATATGTAAATGATAACTTTTTTAGACCGAAGAAAAATATAGTTGCAGATCACTCTCACAATTCTATGAACACAACCCTACCGCTACGAGCACTTCTGAAAGACTAAGATTATGCCAACATATCTCGAAATTAGGGAAGTCACTACATACGCTTCACTTACC